TTCATGGATCGACTTGATATTATAAATCGAGTGTTTTAGTTGTTAAGCATGGAAAGATTTGATTTATAATTCAATTTAAATTTTATTGTTCACACTTGGTAAAGACGATTACTTTATTTTGATAAGATTGTCCTAATTTTATTGAAGTTGATCTTGACATTGGCAATACTATTGAGGGTACATTTTGAAATGTATTGGACGGCATCATGTGACATTTAATTTATAAAGTTAACCACATGAATCAATTTTACTTGACTGCTATACATAATACCTTAATCCTGAACATGTAATTGAACTCGATTACTAGCTTAAAGTTCTTTGATGTATCAATGAGTGAGAGTGTTGATCAATATTTTTGTGCCTTGAGAATTATAATGAAATAATTGGGGAACATATATTCACCATATGAAATCCATGAACCATTTAATAGGTACAATCATGACCTCGAAGAATTTTTTTAATAGACAGAGAAATTTGGTCTCAATTATTCGACATTGACTATTGAATTAATATTATAATATGATTACTTGAGATTGTCAGATAGAAAATGAAACTGAGGATTTAATACTTATATGAAAAAGGGCATTTCTGTCATTTTACCTTTTCCCAATATTTAACATGATCAACGAGGATAATACGTAAGAAAAATAAGTCAAAAAAATATAATTATTGTTTACTTAGTTTCAGTAATTTCAATTAAATTCAAAGTATATTCTTGTTTTTAGTGAAATAGAATGTAACTAATAAATTATTTCTATTAATTAAGAGTTGATTATGTCAAGATTAATTTATTGGAGTTTAGTTTAATTGGGTTCATTTGGTCCTTTCGATCTTTCGATGGCTTCAAAATTAAAACCGTAAAAAAAATATAAGAGTTATAATTTATTATTAATTGGAGTATGATGAATTAATTAAATGGGAACGTGTCATGCATGTTTGATTAATATTTGAATTTTTTTTTATTTGAATTCGAATTAAAAGGAAAGTCCTTTTAGATTAGTATCCTTCTCGAAATAAGAAGGGAAAAAAAAAAGAGTTCTTTTGAATCTATGATATATCCTCATCCAAAAAAAGAGTTTACGTATGTATTAATAACTTGACAGTAAAGCATAAATTATTTTGGGCAGTTTGAGTTCGTCTATTGGAATCTTCGGGTATCTATATTATTGCAACTTAAACAATAGAAATCTAATTTCTAACTCATCATTAATCTCAGTGATGGATTACAGTTTGAGTAGATTAATAAGCAATGTGTAACCTTTATTTGTTCAGTAAGCTATGTGTAACTAAAGGATAAGTTTAATGAACATTCAATTAAATAACTCCATAATTTAACATCGTGGTCTGATTTTCATAAGACGTGTAGAAATTTTCGTCAAGTGGAAGTCACGAATTTCTCTCCAATTA